GACAGGGCCGCCGAAGGGCCGCCGGTCCCTCCGTGTGAGCGAGCGCGGGAGGGCGGAGGAGGGGGCGGCCCAGGCACGGCGAGCCGGTACCGAGCGGAGGGTGGGGGGAGGAGAAGGAGAAGGAGGGGGGAAGGATCCTGTGCGCGTCGCTCTCGCTCCCTCTCAGAACAAAATGCCGACCGGAAGTGCAGCTGCAGGAATGACTCCCTCCACCGGCGCCAAACACCAACAGCCTCCCCCTTCCCTTCGCCGCCGCCTCCTAGCCCGCTCGCTCAGCCGGCGCCGCTTCCGCCGCCGCTCCGCGCCGCTCCCTGCCAGAGCCGCCGAACAGCGCCTGGTGGCGGGCGCGGCAGTCCGCGTGCGTGGCTCTCCCCTTCCCCAGCCCTCTGCCCGCCGCCGGGGCTCTTCGTTTCCTTTTCCTTTCCCTGCCGGTGTGCGCTACGAGCCCGGAGTTCGCGCTCAGGCCTGCGCTGAGAGGAAGGCACCCAGCGATTTGTGAAGAAGTGGCGGTTGAAAATAATATTAATAATAATAATGTACATACACATGTTTTGGGTTTCTTTTTCGCTTTCCTTACGGATGGTGGGGAGGACTGCAAGTGACCGCAAAACGCCAACTCGCAGGAGGCAGACGTAGAAAGGAGCCGTGCGAGGAGCCCGCGAGGCGGCAGCTCCCCCTGCCCCAGGGCGGGACGCGGCAGACCTGGACACCGATGGAGTTACTGTTACCGTGACTCGGCGTTTGTAAAGAGACTGTGTCGCAGGAACTGAAACACCGAATGCCGAAAGCGTCGCCGGCGCCAGGGATTTCCAGGCGGACTTCGCGAAACGGAGTGGCTTTGTAAACAACGATTTCAGACGAGCGTGGGGACAACTACAGATGTTAAGGTGAAGGGTCTTTCGCTGGAAGGTGTTGCTCCCCACTCTCCTCCAGGTTTACTGGAGATATTTTAACGGGGGGCTGCAAAGGACAGGCTTGGAATGTATCCTCCTCTGAGAGACTTTTTGTTTTTCTCTACACAGGTAACACTGAGTAAACATTCACAGAATAATAGAAGCACTTACGTCTAATGAATCCACCGTATTTTTTTCATACTCACTTCTTTTATGAACTTCTCAGTACTTGGACAAAAATCCTTCTCTATTCTTGCTCATCTATGGAATGCAGGATTCAGCCATACACTTGGACACAGCAAGATGTAAAAGTCCTGTGACATACAAACACACCCTTTCAATTCTGGATGGATATTATTTGCACAAAGATATAATATCTTACACCAAGCTACTTGAATCTCTCCAAGACTTAACAATTTCCTAAGCAATGCTCTATATTTAAGGCAGATTTCAAGCCTGGCTCTCAAGCTTAACTGTTACATTCATTATATTGGATTAATCAAAGTTTGCTTTACAAGTGTATTTGAAAGTACACAAGTGAAGACGGCACTGGAGAACACCGTAATTCAGTACTTCTATCTAATGGGCTTAAAGGAAACAAAGTAAACCAGATTCTGAAAGAAATGTATTGCATGCCTTTGTTATATGTCAGTTTAAAAGGCCCCAACCCTACAACTGTTTAGGCATTTATAATTTCAAACTATCCATTTCAAATAATTAGTGTAGCAGATGAAGCACGCTCATAAATCTTCATGCTTTATTTAATACAGTGCAACTCTGCAAGATAAGGGGGGAATTATCTCTTTTTTTTTTTTTTTTTTTTTTTTTTTTTTTTTATTAAAAAAATAAATTTTAAAATTTACTATTTAAAGGGAAAAAATTTGGGATATTTGAAAATTAA